TCAATAAATAATATTATGTCCAAATATTATTTAGAAATTATCATAAAGAATAAATGTTACAAAGATTCTTATACATATACATTAATAATATTATTAGATCTCGTAATCACGGTGATCATTTATCAATAGAAGTGAATATTAAATATTCCAGTATTAGAGTTAAGCTCTAGTTATAACACTTGATTTATTTGGGGTTTCTTTTTCCAGGAACAAAACTTCTATGTGACTCTTATCCAAACAGTGTGTTGGATACATTAATAGGACATTTTGTTTTTAAATTTATATTTAAATCAAAAAGTGTTATCTAATAAACTTTAAAATGTTATTATTTATGAAAACTGGCACATTTCACACGCCCCGTACTAAAATACCGAAATAGGTACCTACCCTAGATAATCAGGTCAATACCTATAATAATGCACAAAAAAAAGCACATAGTTAAAATCGAGTTAAAACAAATCAATTAATTTGGAATAAATATGTTCAATCGATAGAACGTTTTATTTAAAAAAAAATAGAATTCCTATCAAATATGTACATCGTACCTACGTGGCATTAAACATATATTACAAACGATCATAAATGTTTTGGTTAGGTACCAATAATACAGGTTATACTCAATCACGGTCTTATTTACAGTCTGCAGGCATGACTTTTGGATTACTTAGTTAAACAGTTAAAAATAAATCAGGTATGTGTGGGCAGTTATCGGTACGGGGTCACAAAGAGACAAAAATTCTTATACATATACATTAATAATATCATTAGATCTCGTAATCACGGTGATCATTTATCAATAGAAGTGAATATTAAATATTCCAGTATTAGAGTTAGGCTCTAGTTATAACACTTGATTTATTTTGGGTTTTTTTCTTACAAAACTATTACGATATCATAAAATTCGGACACATTGTAATAGACAGGAGGGACTGATCTAAAGTTTTTTTTTAAATAGACGGAAAGGACCGATCTGAGATTTTTTTATGGTAAATAGACGGCAGGAACCGATCTAAGAATTTTTATAGTAAATATTGAGAATAAATAGACAGCGATAGGCTGATCTGAAAATTAATGCACGCGCGTAGCAATTGAATATATGGAAATGATAGATGAATAATTTTTTGAATTAAAATGATAGAAAATTGTTGAAGGAAAATAAGTTGTTATATTGAAGAAATATAGATTTTGAATTAAAAGGCAGTAGATGACCTTATTGAATAAAAGTAGTTGAAGTCAAGAATTTTGAATAAAAGTAATTGTAAGGGTAGCCTAGAATAAGTATAGTAATAAGAAAAATAAATAAATGTTTATGTGATAAATTAAATCGTTAAAAGTAATAAATTCATTTAATAGAATTATATAAAAAATAGGTAGTTGAATATTGTTATAAGATTGCTGGCTTAGCTACCCAGTAATAGTTTAATAATATTCAAACGCATTATTCGTAAAAAAGATCGCGGCGAACCTAGGGGCGTAATAATTTACGTAGAATACATGCGTTGTATACTAGTGAGCGTGCGTTAGTAGGTACACAGTATATTAACACGCGGCGTGCATGAATAAATACGAATAGAATAAATACGTACGTACGATACGTGTATACGGGAATAAATACACACATTTAACAAAATAAATAATTATTTTTTTTTTTTTGGTAGTAATTTAAATGAAAATTACTAGATTTTAATAATGTTGGTGAACATTAGGTATATATGAATACAGAATCGGATAGTTCAGATATTCAAACTAGTTCTGCGGACAGTTCAGTAAAAGTTAAAAAATATAAAATTAAGAAAGAATTAAAGGCGGAAATTTTAAAAGACGCTATAAAGAAAGAATTTATAGAAAAAACAGGCAGACAAATAGCTAACGCCGAAAAAGCTGTTAGGAAAAATTTCGTAAGAACACTTAGTTTAACAGAACGGATAGGTATCACGCCACGAATAAGTGAACAATTCGTAGGTCGTTCAGGTACTAGGTCAGACTCAAGCGTAGTTAACGTGCAATTAGAAACAGAAGTTAGGAAAAGCGCGAAAAATAAAATGGATATTGATAAAGCAATACCAATGATACCAGTTTGCACGGGAAAGAAAGACGTAGCAAATTTTATAAATATCTTCTAGATCCGCGCTTAAAGATATTGCTGACGCGAATAAACCATTATTATTAAAAAAAATAACGTCGAAATTGACAGGGAACGCGTTAAAGGTAACAAAGTATCGACATTTAGACACATGAGGATCAATAAAATCTATAGTAGAGGGGGCATTCGAACAGAAAGTATCGGAGAGGGCCCTAGCAGTAGCTTTAAACACGGCACGTATGACCGAAGGAGAAAGTGTAGCAAAATTCGCCAGTAGAATCGAAGAGTTATATTATAAACTCTGCGCGGCTAGTACAATGGGATTAACCAAGACCGAAGCACTTGTAGTTAAAAACCAGACAAAAAAGCAGGCTATGATTATATTTATGACAGGATTACCACATCACCTATATACGGTACTAAAGAGTAGAAATCCAGAAACTTTAGAACAATGCTTTAAACTAGCGGTAGATGAGATCTTGAATTTAATTCTAAATTAGAAATGGAAAAGTTGCAGGGAAATGTACAAAAACAAAATAGTAATGAAAAACAAATGAATGGCAGTAACGAAGAAAAACGACATAATGATAGTAATAGATATAATATGTTTAATCGCGGAGGAAAGGGATACGCAAATCAAAATAGTAGAAATAATAATTTTAATGGGTATAACAATAGATATAGCAATAATAATCACGGCGGTTATAGTGCAGGCGCGAATAATCGCAACGGAAGTTTTCGCGGCGGACATGGTTATGGACGAAATTTTAACGATAATAATTTTCAATAATCGTCTTAGCAACAAATAATAATATTAATGACAATTAAAATCGGTCGTAAAATAAAATTTCAACAAACCAAATTACGGTACATTATATTGTTATAATCATCGATTTAATATCTTTACCTTCATTTGCTGGGACGTTGATCACAGAAGCCATTTTTGAATTGTTCGTCAAGTCGTGGTAAGGGAGAGGGGCGATAAATTTACGTTATTCGACAAAAATAATATAACGCCGTGGTAATGGCATTTGTAAAAAGCAAAAAAAAAAACTGCAATGGCGACAACTGTATTAATATTAAATTATATTATTATGTTAATAATTATATAACAAACTACGCCGAACGGGTCACGCAGTGCTGTGAACAACGGGAACCGTAAAACGATGGGAACGTGTCGGACAACGAGCTACGGCGGCAATGTCGACGGACGAGTGTCGAATGAATATGAACGGTGTCTGCCAGCTCATTGGTATGGTTGGGGTTCGGTGTACTGGCAGCGGGTCGCGGTGCTCGCCAACATAGCTACATAATACCAGGTGCCCTTTAGCGTGTGCGTGAGTTTGCTTGTGTGTGAGTGCCATTAGGCGGCGACCCCACTGACTAGTACCCCGATAGAGGCTACCAACGCGCTGAACTCGTATAGTTCAAGGTTTTCTCAAACAATATACGAACACGGGGAACGATAATAATTTATTATTTCTTTGAATATCACTATTTTGATGTATTGACACTATTTATGTATATTATTGAATGCACATTCATCGTTTTCTATGGTTACATTAATAAAACCCAAATGTATAATATTACATTTTTATTTCTGGTACCATCTATTTTACTATTAGCAGTAGGTAAGATCGTGGGATTTTCGAACATATTTTATCCTATGACTTTCTTATTTACACGGATTAGCCTAAGAATTAAAGACCAGTTGAACCCAGTTAAACATAAATGAGATATGTGTATGTAGTTATCGGTACGGGGTTTAGTAAGTTCCCACACAATACATAGCATTTAGGGTACATATGTAAGTTCCATCAAGGCAAAAAATACATCAATACGTAAATTGCCACACGAAAATTTATTCAGAATTAGGACTGACAAGTTAAACGTATATGGTCCAAATATATAATAAAAATGAATAATTTTATGTGTAGGTATGGTCCACATCTTATTAATACACTTAAATTAATTTACGTTTTACTTCATTGCTGTATACTTACTAGCCGTTCTCACAGTTAGTGTCATTAGCACATCGCCAAATTTGCAGTTACTTGAGAGTTTTTTTATCTCTTTAACGTACCATTGAAATGATTCATTTTTACTTTGTACTATATTATTAAACTTAACACGCTTGCATAAAAAATATAGTTTTGATTCGAAATAGTCTTTAATTTGATCGAATGCTTTTTCTTCTGGTTTTATCGGTGTGCATAAATCTTTTAGCATGTTGTACGAATTCTTGTATATCAATGTTAATAACGTCGGAACCACTTGAGCTTTGGAGACGTTATTTCATTTAATAAATAATTCAAAACGGTCGATATGTGATTCCCAATCGTCGTCCTTTCGAATTGTTAAACGTGACCAAATGCAAAATTGGACATCTTATTTTTTTTATCCGATTTAATCGGCTCTAATTTTTAATCTTCGTCGGCAATGGTTCTATCTCTATATTTGTATTGAGTAGGCTTATTAAGTAAAACACAATTTTAATAAGATTACAAAACTTTATTATTACTTAATTACTTTAACTGTTTAACGGTGTACGCTGTACACTGCAGTCAAATATATACCAAATATTCATTAGAAAATAATATTTATCGTCTGTTGATAATTATTGATCTTTAATCAATAATTGATTGATATTTAGTCATAACACATTACTCATTAGTCTTCCAAAATGTGAACATCGTATTGTACCATTAACTTAACGAGTTGGGTGTGGCTTTTTGGTAAAGAATACAGTCAAACAGATAAGATTTACCCATCGATCAATGAGTCGATTATCGAGACCAGTCAACCTATCAAATATGCACATCGTACCTACGTGGCATTAAAAATATATTACAAACGATCATAAATGTATTGGTGTCTAATCCAATGATCTAGTGTCAAGTATTCAAAGTTCCTGAAAATGTCCATCAAAAAGACATACCAGAAATTAGGAGATTGCAATTCAATGAAATCTCAACAAAGGAAATCACAACAGGAAGTCGACCAACACAATCCACAAACGTCAACATTCAACGTCAAATATTCAACCAGAAAATCAGCACATCCCAAATCAAGCTCCAACATCAACACCAACCACATCGTCAAGAACCAAAAACAAAAATGTTTTAAATAAAAAAAATTTTCCCAAAATTCTAACTATAAAACGTATAACAAAAATAATTCTAAAACATATAATACTTCATTCCTATTTAAACTAAACAAATATGAAAACTTTAAATTAATAAAGAATTCAATTTGCCTAATATAAAATGTTTACATAATATTAAAATAATAAACACATTTTCTAAGCTAAAGGCAATCACACATTAAATTAAAATAAAAATTAAAATAAAAAAAACAAATATTAGATAAATATTACTACAAAAAAATTAAGCAATACAACACAATAAAAAAAAACTAATATTAATAATTTATAATAACAATTCTAAAACAAGGCATAAATAAAAACAATATATAACAGACTTAAATTCTATAAGATAAACCAATATATTCACAAATCAAAATTATAAAACAAAATTAACCGAACAGCAAAAATTATAGTTAAAGTTACTAAATTATAGTAAAATATTATAAATTCAAAAATACATTTTAAAAAAACACTAATATCTCTAATAAACTTCCCTTTTGTGAACCAACCAAATTTTCTGGAGCTATTCACAAAATCATAAGCATATTTATTAAAAAGTATAATGAAGCAAGCCATATTAATAGTTGGACTTCTGAACAAAAAGTATTATTTCTTGCTGTTTATCTCCAAGGTACAGCATACACATTTTTAGACAACTTTTAGAATTCTAATCCAACAACCACATGGACAGAATTAGAAAATGCACTTCGATTAGAATTTGAATAAACAGCAGAAAAATATATGTTCAGAAATTTGATAGAAAATAGAAAACAATTACCCACTGAAACATTATTTGTCGACTTTTTTACGATTTTGGTAATTTATTTTTGAATTATAAATTATAATAATATAATTTTTTTCACAGTGTTAAATATCTTGGTATATGTTTGTGTATAAAAAAAATACTATGGTGGTGTATGACTTAAAAATATTGTACCTACAAAAAATTTTTTTTTAACCGAGATAACTTAATTTTATTTTCTATCTTAACTTTAAACTTATCTAGTTAAACATTTTTCTTTATTAACTTTTAACTTAACTAAAGGCAATTTAATTGAAATAACTTAAAATTAAAAAAGTTGATTATTTTCATTAACTTGCCCACCATTGAGAAATAGTATATAAAATAATGAAAGGCTTAAAACCAGAATATAAAAAAACGTTTTAAACCCAATGACTCACATCAAAATAAATTTAATAACAACCAATTAAATTTAAATTCTGAAAATAATCAAGAACTCAAAAATAATAATAATTGTTACAATAACCAGCTGAATTACAACACATATAATTTAAATCTTAATAAGTGTTCACTAATGTATAAAAATAATAATAATACGAAGAATATTGAATGTCAAAATCAATGTTAACACTGTTATAAATTCACTAGAATTCAAATGGAAATTAATATGTAATTTTTGCAATATAAGATACCATACCGTTAATGAATGCTACTCGAAAAATAGTTGTTTAAATATAAACCATAATAAACCAACAAATAGGTTAAATGAAAATAGCTGAAACCCACATCACTCTTAGGTTTCATAAACACCAAATAATAAATATGATAAAAGTGACATAATTCATAAAACAACAAATGGAAATAAAGGAATATCTAAAGACTTAAATATAATATCAAGTCTAAACAATGAAAAAATATAAACTTCCACATATTTTCATCCAAAAAATATTTACGCTGACCTAGTTAATACAAAACTAATACAAACATTAAATAAATATAAATTATCAGGTCCAGATAAAATAACGTTACAATTCATTGGAACCTCAACAATTAATTTAATGATTTAGAACATAATATTTCTAACACCAATAAACATGATAAGAAATCTGACCACCACCACTATTTTTTTCGAAAATAAATTCGTAGGGACTAATTAAACAAAAATTGAATACCTATACTAAACAATTAATTACGCTAAATACAAATATTAAGACCAAGAAAATGCTATCAGCCAACGTAATTGAAGCTGATATAGACCTAATAAAAACCACACCCAAAATATATCGTATATCAAATACTATTTCTGCTGACCTTCAAGACAATATTGAATCAGCAAATAAACTAATACAACAATTTGACATCATATCTATTCTTTACAAGTTAAAAATAACACCACGTAAAAAAACCAAAATTGGTAAAGAATTTATACAAATAGCACATAATACAATAACCACAACAAATAAACTATAGTATACTCACATTATATTCAATAATCTTTGACAATTCATATAATTTTCAAAATTCGGGAATAAAGAAAAGCCACCAAAATATAGCCATATCCAATATGAATTCAATGATTAATAATGAATTACTACTCTGGAAAACAATAAAGAATATTATATTAAAGAGGTTCTATAAAAAAAAAAAAAAATCCATATATGTGCAATCCAAATAGTATTATTAAAAATAATAACATAACTTAAATGATTTATAGGTACAAATAAATTAGAAAATGTTCAGTTTATTGAAGAATTACATAAATATAAATCCTAAATAAAATAATATTTTATATACAATTTAAACTATATTATATAAATACAATCAATGACAACAAAAACAAAAAAATCTTAACACTTTCGAAAATAACAATATTATTACAAATATCAGTGTTAGTCTACAATTATTGGCTTGATAATACATTTCTGAGTATAGCAAATTATTATAATTTTGTCATACATAATATGTTATGTATATTTTCGTCTGATAAAAAAAGATATAATATATGTTTACAATTTAGAGCCCAGATTTCATATAACACTATATATAATAGCAAATAATAGAATAAACTGTCGCTCTACATCAATAATAAATAACAATTCCAAACCCGAAAAATTATTGCTAAAATTATGCATACTGAAATCTGTATTAAAATAATGAACAACAAAAGGAAGTTTAAGCAAGAATTATATTATAAGAAAAAAAATAAATTTGAATCACAAACTAAAATATGTATAATATATACCAAGTAAAAATTATATAATTATGAAACATTAAGAACAAATTTCAATAATATAAAACTATTACAACGGGTTCAACAATTAAACCCATAAGATCAATCTATATACACATCGTCAAATAAAATAAAAAACATCCTTTACCCTAAACAAGCTAAATATAATTTTAAATTTAAATTTAAACAACAAAAAAACAAGGAAACAATATGTCAGAACATAATACATCACATATAAAACATCCAATTTAAATGGTTACCTTACTTTTCCATATTATTCTCAATAAAAATAATTTTCACCAAATATCAAAAAATAAAAATTCATATTTTTAAAAGTATACTAGCAGCCAGTACATATACAATAATAATCAAAATACAACAAATATTTTCATATTGTGTAAAATATTCGATACCTAAGAAAACATATAATCATTCTGAATGTATAAAATTATGGCATTCTGAAATAAATTGTCATATATTAAATTAACCTACGTAAGTATTATTCAATAGATTAACTAATGTCTAATTCTACACAAGTGTTTAATAAATTATAAAAATAAAATCCAAACAAAACCTCAAAAATAACTCGAACCATAGCTTTTATTTAAAACGATCTCCAAAATCAATCATGTGAATCATTAAAACAGTGAAAATAATATACGCCCATATGTAAAGAAAATATTGCATTAAAATACCTACAAATAAAATAATCGTAACTGCAACTAGTATTATCCACACCATATACTATCTTATTAATAATAATAAAAAAATGTAATTAACCCCTAATTGTTGCATATAAATTATAAGTAATATTATTATTATAGGCACTTTTTATTTTGTCACTGCTATTTTTATTCTGAAGTCTTCATTAAAGTACTATAGATCGACTTCCTACTTGGGTTGATAGTGAATAATGCTAGAAATATTAGGCGTGTAACTGTTAAACTGTGTGTATCAAATAGGAAACGTTTGCATATCTTTTTATATTTATAAAATGATCAGTTACTTAAGAATGTAGTCAATATACCGAACACCATTTGTCGACGATACAACGTACGTTTAGGACAAACTTACACATATTAGATACATACCATGGACGGCCAAACACTTGTCAGTGGATGCAAACGTGAAGGTGCCTGCATAGGGCACGGAATATCTTGTACGATACCCATTTATAAATATATGCATTATAAAACATGTACATTAACATTGCAAAAGATTTTTTTTTTCTAAACGCGGGAATAAATAAATATATAAATATACTTATATATATATTATATACCTAGGTATATATATGTGTGTGTATGTGAAAAAGAATTCATATTTATTCAATATAATATTATACCTATGCTTCGAGAAAATAACATTATACGTAAACATATTATATTATAAATGTGAAATCACCTGCAATACATTCGAGATACGCTGTGTACGGGCTGGGAACATAAGTCACTCACTCTTTGTGAATTATGCTGGTATACATATATATATATAGCACTCAACAGGAGGTGGGAAGTTTAGGTGAGTGAGTAGGTGGTGTGTGTGTGTCTGTGTGTCTGTGTCTGTGTCTGTGTCTGTGTCTGTGTGACTGTGTGTCGGTGTGACTGTGTGACCTTGTGACTGTGTGGGTTGTGGACTGTGGGGTCAAGTATACAATAGTAGTGTTGTAAAGCCGTCAGGAATGCAGCTGGCAAAATCTATTGCATTATATTCGACCCTCTGGTCGCATGGTCGACTTCTATTGGTTTTTTATGATTTGTTTAATCTTGTAAATAACTATAATTTTCAAAACGCTGTTTATGTAATAGATGCTGGTTTTCTTTAACATAGAGTTGTTTGGCAGATAAGAGAAACATTTTCTTCAATTTTAAATAAGTACGTCAATTATGTGAAACGATATTACATAAATGGTGTCACTATTGTTTTCGATGGATATCCAGATAATGCAACTAAATGTACAAAATCAGTAGAACGCTATTTAAAAGCAATTCGTTATGGACCTGCAAAATCTAC